AAAGTTCAGCCGTGTTGATTTTAATTGACCTAGTGAGTAAACAGGTGCTTCATCTATCCATATCCATGGTCTATCATAACACTCTCAAAAGGTTGTAATTGTTGAATACCAGATCGGGTTTTTTCAGAGGGCGGGGGGGGGGGGGGGGGGAGGGTTGACGGTGGTGCCCCCTTCAATCTGGCCGTGGAAAATCGTACACATAGTATCACCATAATGACTGCATAATGTTCGTTTGTTGGGATGATGCGTGGGTCAACGATGCGGTCATTCATTCTTGAGTTTTAAGGACCAACACCAAATGCATTTGTTTCAAATGTCATGAAGGTGCCCCCCCCCTCCCCTAAGAGTTCAATTATGAACAGCACACTGAGCACAGTGCGCACGTGTTCAGACAGACAAGCAAGAATGACGAGCAGATAAATGTTGATAAGGCGCCATGGGGGCCCGGTCAAACTGGACATCTATGGACAACTGATTCCACTGACCAATGTCAATGGCCGTAGGGAACCAGCAACTTCACAACTTATACAAAATTTATAATATAAATACAATCATACCAAAATATTCAAATACCAGGGCAAACTTTCGGTGGCATAGCTAATCGGGGGGGGGGGGGGGGGGGGGGGGGGGGGGGTATTTCAATTCCATTTTTTCATATAAAAATGGAGAAGAAATGGTTAAGAGGTGAAAGGTCAGGGAAGGGAAGGTAATGAAGAGACCATCGGCTTTCTACGCTCTCTCGCTCGCTCTCTCGCTCGCTCGCTTTCTCCCTTGTATTTCATCTGCCTAAAGACTGTGACGGAGATCGTCGGTCGATCTTCCGGTCTGTAGGCCTACCTCCTCTAAACAAACTAACGGAGATACGAACGGTTCATATTTGTCCCCCTTTTTTCTGTCAACACAGAAACCTTGATTGAATATAACGTCTCCAGACAATGCACGTGTGGCTGAACGGAAAGGAGAATGTTGTAAATACATGTAACCCTCCAAATCACTCCCATAGCCGAGTTATCCCGAATCAAGGTCGAAACTAGAATGGAACAGCGTGTGGGCGAGCGTGATAGGGGTGATGTTGTGACGGGCGGATGATACACGCGTGGTAGTGAGGAGTGACATGTCTAAATCCAGTAAGGAGAAACTTGGCGCAAACATCGATCTAATTTAAAATATTCTGTATTTTCCGCAAGGAACACCCACCTAATCATTATTGTTGCATACCCCTAATAATGAGCCTTACATTAAAAAAAATATTTTTTTCCAATGTCAAACTAAGAAGAGAATAATTTCAAACAGTCACATTGGTCTCTGTGAACATTCTCAGTTTGCTTCGGGACATTGACTTTGTCGTATTTATCTAGGATGAATGCATATCCGGCAGGTTTCCACACGACAGACTTTCAAAACCCTTCTCAAAACTTACCTCTTTCGTTTGTAATTTTGACATTGCATTTAATTAATGTATTATAATTAAATATGTAACTCTAATTGATTTTTCATAAATATTTGCTATCTGTATTTACTTTGCTCTTAATGAATTAATACATTTAGCTGCTTGTCTTTAGTTTAAGGTTTTTGTATTTCGTTCGTGTAACTACGATGTAGTGAAATATAATTGTACATGCTTAATTTTTACTATGTAAAGCGCATAGTAAACTTCGTTTATTATGCGCTTAATAAATCAATCTTTATTATTATTACCATGTACAATAAAGCCAAAGCCTCTATCACGATCTTTATCTTTGTTCCTCTGTGAAAAGAATCATCATCGGGATCATCATTCTCTGAAATTATAGTAATATCTGCCATTGAAGGAAGCAAATAGATGACCATTTGAAGACCATGAGAAACTGGGAGCATTTGATGGAAGGTATAACAATGATTGGTTTGGACGGGTCGTAGGGAGGGGGTCAAGGGCTACAGACCAACGTGAACTAATGCAATCATACAATCTGTGTCAATCATATTATTAAACATAGACAATTATTGTTGAAGAGGAATACAACAAAACACGAAGGAGGGAAGGAGGAATGCTCGGAGGAGGAGGAGAAGAAGAAGAACAAGAAGAACAACAACAACAACAAGATGAAGAAGAACAAGGAGGAAAAGAAGAACAAGGAGAAAATTAAATGCAGAAGGAAAAGGAGGAGATGCTGAAGAAGAAGAAAAAGAAAAGGAAGAAGAAAAAGAGAAGAAGAAGAAAAGAGTACGAAGGTTAGAAGGAGGAGAAGAATCAGAAGATAGGGCACGCAGAAAGAGAAAGAAAGAAGATGTGATGAACATTCTAGCATGTCTTTTGAGATAAGAAACGTGTGTAGACAAGGTGAGCTCAAATGAAGCATTATATCTGACGTGAAGGAAATTTCAATACACAGCTTGCGATATTCTTGCTTTTCCTAGTATTTTGAATGGAGAACTTCCTTGTGCTACGAATCGATACATTGAAGGTATTTCCTTTGTTCTAGGGCTTCCCTGGCCTGGTGACCGTATTCGAAACAATGTCACTGTTTCTTGGAATACAGATTCTTGATCATGATGATAATATAAAAAGATTCTACTGAATTCCTCTCAGCTTATTCCTGGCGAGCCCGATTGCAAGAAATAACCCAAACACACGACCCACACACGCGCGCCAGACACGTCATATATTCCCCTCTCTCTCTCTCTTTCTCTTTCTCTTCTTCTCTCGTCTTCAACGTATTTATTTCAAATATTTATCATCTCTCCGTCTTTTCTTTTCGTTTTTTTTAAATTTTTTGGTCTTTCTCTCTCTCTCTCTATTTCTTTCTTACATACTCTCTTCTTGTCTACCAAATTTCCTTGTCCTTCTACAAACTGTTTTCATCTACTTTCCTCATCTGGACGAAGCACCCGCCCATTACCCATCTAATACCAGCCCACCTTATCCCATCTCTCACCGGGTCTCACGGCCTCATACCCATCGCTACAGTAGCATGTTCGCCATTCAATTTCATATTTTATTTCCTAGGGATTATCTCAGAATTCCAAAGTCTGTGCTGCAATTTCATCGCAAGGTCTTTCTTTCCTCGGGCCCACTTTCCTTACGATCTGCATGTAAACATATTCGTCTTGGTCAGCGCTTCCAATACGTGCATGGAGACCAAAAAAGAGATCGAATGTGAAGTTATTCTGCCAGTAAGCATGTTCTGTCTACGGTGAGTATGAAGAGGGTGGGGGGGGGGGGGGGGGCTATATCATAAAATAAGTAATTTACCAAGAGAGAGAGAGAGAGAGAGAGAGAGAGAGAACGAGATAGATAGAGAGAGAGAGAGAGAGAGAGAGAGAGAGAGAGAGAGAGAGAAGGGGGGGGGGTGATGAAGCGAGAAATAGATGAACGAGATAATTTGACGTACATAATGGGTACATTGGTAGGTGATTGATTTCTCCACTTAAACTTGTTTTCCTTTCAGAATAACGATTGCCAATCTAGAGAGTACTAGTCATGACCAGGTTATCGAACTGTAATCCAATTATATCATGACGATTTTAGAATATAACACACCATAACGACTTCATATCCTTAGGGTTTTTGATATTGGATGACATTATATGCATTGCTGATTTAGATAATATCCAATTATTTTGTAACGCATGCAGAATGACGTAGCTCAGATTCAATCTAATAGCAATACTATGAACACTTGATTGCTGAAAACTTAGTCGTATTGAAATTAGATTGATCAGTCGAGACCATTCCCAATTCCGCTGGCTTCGTGACTAACATGTCTGGAACTTCTCCCCCCGACAATAGCATTATATTGATAAACATGGAGACAGAAACATCGCAGAATCATGAAGAATGAGTTGAAAGAGGGAGACAGGCAGAAAAGAGGGTAAAGCTAGGATTCAGAGAGAAAGACGTAGAAAAGAAAGAGGGAGTGAAGAGGGGGAGTGGGAGGTGGACGAGAGTGGGAGAGGGAGGGAGAGAGATAGAAAGAGAAAGAGAGAGAAAGAGAGAGAGAGAGAGAGAGAGAGAGGGATTGGGGGGGGGGGCTGACAATCTTGAGGTGTTTTTGTTGACGAAAACCATGTATCAAACTAATAACGCCTACGAATCAACTCTCGGGTAACCCTTATACAAATGAAGGTTTTAAACCGTGTGTAATGAGAAAGGAAATCGAATTGATTCCAGGACATACTATACATGCTCATTAAGAAGAGTTAGAAAGAAAGCCTCTGAGATGCAACAGATCTTGAGAAGTGGGAGTGAGGGTTAAACGAAGACAAGGACAACATCCAAAGGAATGAAATCAAGGGCAAACAGTTTAAGAATTTAATATGTGCTCATCAAGAACGCATTGAAAACTAACCCCTCCGAGACGGAAGGGATCTTGGAAAGTGGGAGGGAAAAATAATCATATGGCAATCATGACAATCAGGGAAGGTATTGAATTAGAAGGAGGAGGAGGAGGAAAAAAACATGTAATGATATATCCCCTGAGGATGTTATTGAAATCCTTTTCATTCATCGAGTGTGTAGCCCAAGGGTGTATGAGATATGACGGCTTCTTAATGGATGTTTGAGCACAACCAATCAACGATTTCTGACATCGGAGCATCGTCCAAGTTTGAAAGCATGCCCATTTTCATTAAAGCCCTTGTACAGCTTCGGTTAGCTTCCCAAAATATCTTCTTTGATTTTAGCTGATGCATAACACAATACTAGGCTCTTGTGATTTTCTTTCTCTTCAAGAGCAATGTCAAACAAATAATAGGTGACGATAATTTAAATACAGAACCCGATACATCAATGACAACGACGTCAAAAGACTCGTATGAAACATGTTAAGTGGTCAGAACAAGGAATTATCAATTAGGCTGATCCGACACACTAAAATATTCACCCTTGTTTGTCGATACTTCTGGTCAGTTCATAGAACGGCAAATTGTGAGCATTCAAAATAGTCAAGCGTCAACATGCAGTTTATGTAATATTGGACACAATAATGATTAAATATAACAATCGAACCGGGGAAACATACCTCTCTATTTGTCTTTCTTTACATCCAAGCAGGCCTGCCTTAAGTCTTGAAAAGTACGTCATGTGTTTCTGCAAGTATGGGAATAAACAATGAAATAACACATACAATTCAATTATATATACTTTTTTGAGGACACGAAAAGAGTCAGAAAATCAAATGAATCAGTCATCATATTAACTCCAATGCTGAACATTCGGTAGGACGTGATAAATGCAGATAATAAAATTACTATGACGTCAAGGGCTGCGGTTAAAGAAGCATAGAAGTTTCCCATCTTGATCAAAAGAGTTGATGACAATAGAGTTAAAGTATTAAAGAATTTATAAACACAATACCGTGAACATCATATGACTAAACCGTGATCTTGTCAAAGTTTACTTGCCGCTCTGAAATGTTTCGATGGTCATGTCCCATTTATTTTATTTGATTAGCAAAGTAACATATTTGTTGACAAATTCTTGGTGTAGATGCGCAATATTCAGAATAGATCATAAAGAAAAGACCGGATGCAGGATTCGACAGACAATTTGATGAATGTCTGCTTTAAGTTATGGTTGTTCAATGAAATATACCATATTTTTAACAATCAATCATTTTCTTTTTGACAACTTCATCTAGTCACGTACAAAGGTCTGTCTATTACTATATCATGCAGACACAACCCATTTTATACCAACAACATAAGACTCAATCCAATCTCTGAACATATAGAGTGTTTGTCCAATCATAATGTAGCAGCATTTTAAAAGATGGATATAATGATGAATTACTACTCCATTTCATGGACGGATGACAGTGATATAATGATAATCATAACTCTAACATCTAATCTTCAGGTTTCGAAAATACACGCCAAGAAAAAGTAGAGAAATTTTTGTTGTCTCGTATTCACCAGAGCCTTATATACACAGCAGTGGCGGATCCAGGGGGGGGGGGGGGGGGGGGGGGGGCCGGGGGGCCGGGGCCCCACCCCCTTGAGAAAAAAAATCATGTAAAATCACGTGATTTTTACCTTTTTGGGGGGTTGGCCCCCCCCCCCCCCCCCCCTGGCGCTCAAGGTTTTTTCAAATTTTCGGGAGCAAAAAAAAAAAAAAAATTGGGCCCCCTCCCCTAAGAAATCCTGGATCCGCGCCTGATACACAGAGTTTCACTGGGTCACACTATGGCCTATATTCTTTTGTTTTGTGCTTGCCCAACAAAGCAGTAGTCGCCATGTTGTGTCCAACTCGAACCGGGTTGGCCAAACTCTGTGTATAGATGGCTCTGCTATTCCCTTCTAACGATAGTCCTCTGCGTATAAATGTAATCAGCCTTTGAGGATTAAAGCCATAATAAGTGACATGAGAGACGTTTGACTTGGATTCATGAAGCTTCTGAGATTCATGGAAGGCAGTCTATAAACCCATTACTTACGTGAACCTGGTGGCCCCTGTATTAAGCCTATGGGGTTTAGAGAATTCAGTAGTTAACGGGTTAATGAAGCCTTGGAAATAAATCCATCATGAAATCATCGTGGCAGATTGCTTTTCGTAGAAGGGTGAATGAAGACAATCCCTATATAACCTCATTTCAATTACTTATCATGAAATCCAACCCTGCGCATAGATTTTAATCGCATCAATTTTTAGGTCTTCGCGCTCAGTACGGGGATAATGCCAATCCCCATTTAATCCACTTTCCCCCACATTAATCCACGCATCCATCCCCCTGTGTGTATCAATCTTCATACTCTTTGCTCATACGTCACAATGTCATTTTGAGAAGAAAGATCAGGTATTAAAACTTAGAAGCTTTTCAGCCAATGATATGACCCTAAGGTATTCAGACGAGGAAAACTATACACTTAGGCATATTTAGGATGCTGGGAGTAAATGGGAATGTCTCTATTTTCACATTAGTGACTACATATAATGAAATATGTATATTAAGACCCGGATAACTTGCGTTGGAATATTTCACTTTGTACTGGTATTGCTCAATAGTAGGCCTACAGTATACATATAGGCCTGTCAATGCTTACAAAACTGATAATCCCATTTACTAACATGGTTCAAATTAAAATGAATTATAATGAGGACCTTTCTCAAATCTAAAGTCATGTGATCTACAAGAGGATATTCACGTTGTACCCCCTTTGATTATATTGATGAATGTTTATAGCGAAAGATTGATCGCTGTCAACATTCTAGATAAAATAGAAATGTGCAAATTTATTTGTGTTGGTTGATTTTGTTCGTTAAATTAAATATCAATCAATCAAAAGAGAGAAAGAGAGAGAGAGAGAAGAGAGAGAGAGAGAGAGAGAGAGAGAGAGAGAGAGAGAGAGAGAGGGGGGGGGGGGGTCGGGAGATATAATTTCTCTAAGGAAGTTAATAATTCCCACGTACTTCATGCTGCTAACATTGTTATTATCCTGACCTATAAAACCCTCCAAGTTCTCCTCTATAGGACTATAGGAATCTTGTTTTCGTGAAGAAAGATTGACAAACTTTCCAACTTTTAAAAGCTGCTCAAATATTTGTTGTTTGCTGAAGTTATGAGCAAATGGAACCGCTACGTGAGGGCCCGGTACGGTATCCCTTAATGTTCCAAGCACAAAGGAAGAATACACTTTCGGTGAGACTTTGGACAAACACGTAGCGCTCCAAAGAACAAACTTAGAATCCCTTGGGATGCCTGCCTGCCAGGAATATCAATTTTCATGTGTTTGATATGAGGGGACTATGCTGAAAGGGGGTTCCTTCAAATAATGATGACAAAAATAGAATACAGAAAATGGAAGCTTAAAGCCCCTCCAAAGTGTTGGGAGCCCCAAATTCGAAAAAAAATTGATGGCAAAATTTCGCTTAAATTGTATCATAATGCTAATTTCAAAGAGGATGTCATTTGAGACACGGTTTTGCCAAGATTTCCCCCCTAAAATGTGTCTAAAGAAAAATATTGATAACAGAATAAATAATTTGGGTTTTCTATTGTACGCAGAAAACCTAATTTTGTGTATTCTTTCATCAATATTTGACTTCAAACACATTTGCGTTGAAAATACTTGCAGAAATGTGTTTCAAATGATTTCCTCTTTCACTTTATAATACAATTTAAGTGAAATTTTGCCATCAAATTACTGGGGCTCCCAACATCTTAGAGGGGCTTTAACATCAACAAGAATATGAATAATCTAACTCGTTATCAGGTTATTTTCCCCTCTCTCTCTCCGGAAACTCAAGCATGCCTTCTTCCTTCTGGCCTTGGGACAGACAATCATATCAGATATTTTTCTCAGTGACTTAAAGGTAAAGACCGGTTTTAGAAACGACTCCATTTCAAAAAATGAAATGGAAGCTCTTATTTCCAATCATGTGAAAGATTATGTTTTGACTATTCACGTGATGATAAAAATTTTGCCGGGAAGCCGCCTACTAATACTGATATATTTGGTAAATTATTAAATCTATCTCACTAGGCTGGACTGGATAGATATAGGGTAGTCCCACTCCCATATACATCTTTCTGTGTACAGTGCGTCTAACTTTACTAAGACTGGGCCAAATTTTTTTATCATTTTGATGATTCCAGAACCTTGCAGTACACACCAATACGCTACATGATCAACTTTTTTGATCGATTCCCCAACGTTTCTATCACAATGCAGTCGCATGACCAGAACTGGTCTATACCTTTAAACTATGTCCTATTTGCAGGGGAAAAAAATGAAAAGGTGAAATTCCAACGGCATTTGAAAGATGATACAATTTTAGAACCCCCCCCCCCCCAAAAAAAAGGGGGGGGGGCTTGAAATGTCTGTAAGTGGGAAAATAACGACTATTAGTTGTCGAATCGACTTAGGAGCCAATAAGTAATAGTCTTAATATTTAGACCATTGTACCGAATGGTCAAACGTTTTATGCTGCGCAAAGATTCAATCAGTTTAATTTCGGCCATTACAAGAAGTAGGTTATTGGTGTAGACAGAGATCATGTCCTTTACAGCTCAGTTTTTATTCGTTATTACCAAAGAAGAAAAAGAGCCAGTCAGTCACTCAATAGTGTCTGACATTGGAGTCTAGCAAGTAAATGGGTTTCCTTGCATAATTTGAATATAAGGACACTGCTAGCCTTTAAATTTCAAAGATAGGACATACATGATATATTCATAATTCCAGCAAAGTTCTACAGAATTTGCGGTAGGCTGCAAAAGGGACATAGTATCTTTAAAAGAATGTTCCCACATGGCTGAGACCTGTCCTGCGGAGACACATATCCTTAGTTAAAACAGATTTACTTCCTGCAATAAAGCTATAGGCCTTGAACACATTGATCTCATCTCAGATGACCCGAACAAGATTGTAACTTTAAACTAGCAGAAATTATTAGTGAACAGAATGAGACACGGTTGCATGCTAACAAATATACGGGCTACTATACTATCTAATTACCAAACACTTTTCGACTTCGCCATTTAATCTCCTCCTCTAATTTTGACTAATTGGGCAGAATTTCTCTTTTTAGTCACATAAGAACCGCGGAATCTTTCCAAGAATGTTACAAAAATAATCTTTCGAGAAGAACGCTTTGAAAGGTTTTTTTTTTAAAGTTTCCATTCAATGTTGATAATTTTTTGCAAGTAAATAGGGGAGGCAGGGGGTAGCATCATATGTCGTCATAATGCAGCTAACGCACCTTAAGTAAGGAATATTGCATGATATATTAGTGCACAAACCCAATATATTGTACGATTTTTCAAAACGATTATTTTTTACTGGATGGGGCCAAGGCTTTTACACTTGTCAAGTTGGGCTAATTGCACCACATTATATAGGTTTCATTTGGGGGTAGCATTCAGAAACAACCTTGGGCGATATTTGGGATTAATTTGGCTTGTTTGTCAATGATTGTGAGGGATAAAGAACGATGCATGTCATGTATCGATGTGAAGGGAGAGATTGGGATATATAATGGAGCGCAAAACAGAGGTATTATGATGAAGAAGAAGACTTATATATATATCGAAGACCAGAAAGGGAGGGAGGAGAGAGAGAGAGAGAGAGAGAGAGAGAGAGAGGGGAGAGAGA